AACTTGATTGAAGCTGACCATACACCCTTGCTGGTGCCTCATATGACCCAAGGCGAACACTGGAGACATTGGGCTGAGGTCGAGAGTTCAGTGCCGGTCATGGGACAACGCAAAGTAATTAAGTGAGCATATTTGTCTGATTGAAGCAATTTGTCCTGCTATTTACTTCACTTGATGTACAATCACGTGGAATACAAGCAGGGCAATGAAAGCAAGAGTCTTCTTTTACACAACTAACATATCTAAGTGTCAGTTATCTCCAAGACAAAGAATTAGAAGCCAGAGGACTTTGAAGGTGAACTGTCATTAGGGAATTAAAACATGTAGAGGAAGTATAGATAAATACTGAATGAACTACCATGCAGGGAAAGGTGTGAATTAATGTACAGATCAGGTAAAACAATAAAAGAAATACATATTCAAAATTTACTTTGATAAATTTGAATTATTTACTAATGTATGGGATTCTGAAGGGTCTGGCTGTCATTTTATTGTAATAGTCTTGTTCTTCAATTGTGCTTATTAAGCTAATATTTGATTGTTTGCATTTAAAAAATAAATTTTATTGATATATTTAAGGTATACAATATAATGGCATTTATCAGTGGAAATTTGCACCTTTACTTAATCCATCTTGGTTCTTATATTTCCCCCACTCCCCTGCCATTTTTTTATGATCACTGTCAGGATTTGACTATTCAGTACAGTAACAATCACCCCTTCCTCCTTTCTAACAGAACCCAGTTTTGTTATGGACAGCATATCTCTCTTAAATCAGTTATGTTGGCTTATGTTACAGTCACCCCTTTTATAGCCAATCCATTTCTTCAGCCCATGACAAGTGGTAACGTGGTAGGGGACAGGAAGTGGTAAGGTCTTAGGGAGGCCAACAAGACTTTCCTGAGGCTGTATCAGTCCTCTAATTAGATTATTATTGTGGACATGTTAATTGTCCCTCATTCATGTATTTTTAATCCTCTCATTCAGTATGTTTTCACTCACATGTGAGTCTTTTCTCTCAAAAAATTTATGGTGTGATGAAAGTGATTCGAAACATACAAAAAGCTAAAGAAAGGTAGAAAATGACAAGGGCCAAGAAAGAGACAACATGAAAATAGTCTTTGGCATTGGAGTGTTTATTTAAGCGAGAGGTAGCCACATGGCTTCTTCATGGGGTAGGTCAATTTTCCCTTGCTACCAATTGCCCCTTCCCTCCAAGGACAGGGGATGGGGAAAATGTAGAAGTGCTTGAAAAGAAGATTACACATAAAAACCTAGGAATGCTATAGACTGACACACAGTATCCAAGGTCCTTAGCTGTCCTTAGGAATGTAAGAGCCTTTGGGCTTTTCTGTTTATTTGAAAATTCTATAATATCTCCCATATGCCAGGAAGGAAAAAGAAAAAAATTGTAGGGAGAAGAAAGAGGAGAAAAGTGATTATGTTCCCTACACATCCCATTTCCCTCCCTCAGGAGCTGGGCTGAGGAGCAATGAGGGTAAAATTACAAAGGGCCATTTGATGGATGGAATCATGCCCCTACGCCAGTTCACAAGTTTGTGTCCTCGCCCCTAGTGCTATCTTATTCTTAGAATCATTAAGGAGGTGATTCAGGTTAAATGAGGCCACGAGAGTGAAGCCCTGATCTAACAGGACAGATATGTCTATAAAAAAAGGAAGAGAAGGGAAGGCCATGCACAGAGAAAAGTGCCTGTGAGGGCTCAGTGAAGAGGTGACTATGGAGAAGCTAGAAGGAGCAGCTTCACCAGAAACTACCCCTGCTGACATCTTGGGTTTCCATCTCCCAGAAATGGGAAATATAAGCTGCTCTTTAAAGTAACCCACCAGCAGTACTCAGTCATGGCTGCCCAGGAAGGCTGGAGAGGTGCAGGAGAGATACAAATTCAGGATGTGTGTGTGTGCTGAGCTCCACCCTCACCTGTATTATCTGGTTGGGGTCTGCGATCTCGTGGATGCCTTTATATCTGTCCATGTTATAAACTTCTGTTGTTCGATTATTTTATTTTTTGATTGAAATCAAGGTCTAGTTAGAAATTATATGCAATTAGAAGATAGAGAGGGGTCTTCTTACTAGAAAGTGGGTGAAAGTATCTGAACAGCTTTGATCTTTACAGGCAGAAAAAGAGAAGAACTTTCTGAAGGAGCAATAACCCGGAACATGGAGAAGAAGTGGCAAGACACAGCTGCACATATTTCATCACCTATTATGTGACCAGTGGTAGGAGAAAAGCAAGGAATGCAGTGAATAAAACAGACCTGGCCTTTGCCCTGGTAACATGTTGGAAAATTACTCAGAACACAGAGAATGTGGAGGGAGTAATGCAAAGTAAACCTTTGAGCATGGGAGGAAATGATATCTGGAGTCTTAAATTTGTTCTTTTTTCCAGTCAATAAGCCAGAGAGTGCCCTGTGTGTATCATTGGCTTATAGCAACAGGAATCTGGAACCTGTCAGCGGGTTCAATTGTAATGGGAAAGAAAACAGAGAAAAGAAGATTTGTTAAGAGATAAACACTGAAATTTAGAAATGATATACTGAAAGCCTGAACCAAAGTAAGATCAAAATTACAGGTCTTCATTGACACAATACCAAAATCAAGATGGGTGTATTATCTTGAACTCATTGCAATGCTATCATGTGCAAGCCTTGGAAATATTTTCAAAATAAAGAGATTTATAATCTAGTAGCAGAGACAGCAAAGCACAGGTGAATTGAGCAGGCTTCATACTGTTGTAAGCCAGGTGTGTCAGTTACTTTCCCCCCATTGCTGAGACAAAATACCGGACATCCAAAGTTAGAGGGGAAAGGGTTTATTTAGCTCACAGTTCGTAGGGGTTTCAGGCAGAGGGGCACATGGCAAAGGAGCAACAATTCATGGTGGCAGAAGGCAGTAAAAAAAAAGCAAGCAAGGGAAACTTATCATTGTCTTTCTGTCCCTTTTGTCATCCAAGCTACTGGAATTAGGGCTGTAGTTGGTTAAATCCCTCTCCTTTCCCTAAGCAGTGGGAGTCAATGTTTAACCACTGACTCTCCAGGAAAAAAGCCATGGTTTATCGCTTTGCTGATTTGTACAGTTTGCTCATTTTATGTAGTTTCAGTACTCCCATGTGGCCAATTTCAGGGCACCAATGGGGACTCAACACACTAAATTCCTAAAAATTTGACAGTTGGTTCTCACAAGTCAACAAGAGCCAGCTCTCAGACCCAGCAGCTTCTAAGGCTCAACTTTCACATCTGGGCAATGGAAATCATACCACTTCTGCAGGCCAGTGCTGAGATAAGAAAGAATGCGTAATACAGGGTTATTAGCAGATAGGACCTATCTGATGAATATTCATTGTTTACTGAGCACCTACTATGCAGCAGACACTGTTCCAGGAACTGACGCTTCATCAGAGAAAAAAAGAAGAGTCTGTTTATATAAAGTTTACATTCTAGATTGAAAGAAAACAAAATTAGATGTACGAGTGTATGCATGTTTTCATAGATGGATGGTAGACATACTGACAAATGATGACTAAATATCTGTGTGGATGGATGGATGAATGAATGGCTAGGCCATCTGTTTGGTAGTGATAATTACTAGGAAGAAAAATTAAACAAGATAAAAATGAGGTGAAAAAGAGGAGTGGTCATATTATGTTAGATATAGTAGCCAAGAAAGACCTTAGTGATGAGAAATTCTTGAGAAACCTAGCCAAATAACGGTATCAACCACAGCATTAGGTGGAAAAACTGGTCCAGCAAGGGAAGAGTATGTGTTAAACCCTGAGGTGGCAGAGGCAGAGCGTGCTACAGGGACTGCTACAGACAGGTGTAGTAAGAGCGCCTGAGTGAGTACATACAGGTGATAGGTCCTAGGGGAAGGAAGCTTAGGTAAGGAAATAAGGTTACTGTGCAGGAAGACCAGTGGGGAAGTAGAAAAGATTCCAAACCCTAGTCATGTCTTCAGAGCCTTTGGACATCTGGAAACATGGAGGTGAGGGCTTGTGAAGGACCAGGCTGGACTACTGCTCTCTGGCCTTTCCTATCAACAGCTTACTCTATTGCAGCAGCCTCATTTTTTTCATGTTTTCGCCATTCAAATGTTGCTCAAATTACAGAGATCAACCAAAGGCTTCCATGTGCAGGCCCTGCTCTTAGCTCCGGAGACATGGCCCCTACCAGGCCACGCAAGGAGATTGAATACATTAAAACATAAAATAAATATATCAGCCAAGCAATAAAGCAAACACAGTGGTATGATTGTGTTCCCCTCCTACATGGATATAAAAACCTTCCAAGACCACAGCCCTGCTGCCACTTAATGTCTGACCCCCCTACCCTGAGTCTTTTTACTGTAGTCACTGGTGCAGTAAGTAGCACTGATTTAAACAAATGATGTAATATCAATGCAAGGGTGTGACAACAGCTGCAAAAAAGCCACAGGACCCTGTTATCTACCCAATATGGACTTTTTCAAGACAGCAGGAGAGAAATCTCAAAGAGATGCTTTTTAAAACTTGGTTTGTTTGTTTCTTTTTAAAAAATGTGCTTCTTAGAACACAAAATCATCTGTGGTCCTTCTTAAATAAAATACAAATATCTGGGGCCCATCCCAGAACCACACAGTCAGGATAATCAGGAGCCTGAATTTCAACAAGCTCCAAAGGAAGGCTGGTGTTGCATTTCTGATGTCTGAAATCCATGGCTTTAAAACAAAATAAAATGTACAAGGTTCTTTTCATTTAAGGTCTAATCTCTCCACAAACGGTTCCAAAGAAAACTCTTATGTAAATTTCCTTTACAAAACCTCTGCAAACCCAGTCATGAGCTGACTTTGTTTAGAGAAATACACTGGAAGTTAGTCTTGTGATGGGAACATCCCATCAACTGATCCATTCATTTGAGACATTTCACACGCAGAGACAAGGGATGGCTTCCACCAAAATGCCTTTCTGTCTGTAGGGCTGAAGAGAGACTTTTGAAATACACCCTACCTGTGAAAAGGGCATGGCAGTGAAGGCCCCTCTCCTTGTCTTGATGGCAGCAGACATCAAATAAGTAGGCTTTGATGGGTCCATCAATGAAGTCAGCAGCAAAATCAAAGAGAACCACACCTATCATGGTGATGCTTATGGCCCAAACCAGCTTCCTCCTTGGGTTAACAGTCAAAGCTAAAGGAGAAATAAACAGTAGTCTCTTAAATCTTGCTTTCTTGCTTTAGAATGGTCCACATTTGAAATTTCACCTAAACTTTTTGTCATTTAATCATTTCCCTTTGTTTTCATTTTCTTTTGTTTCTCCAAATTTAAAAAAAAAAATTTCAATTTCTAAAAATCATGAAAATGAGTCAATACCCAGGGAAGACAAGTCTAAAGGTAGAAAGTAAATTTCAGATTGCCTAGGGCTGGCGCATAGGCTGAATGGGAAATGACTGCCAAATGGTAGTGGGTCTATTTTAGGGGTGATGAAACTATTCTGGAATTAGAGCATAGTGATGGTTCACAAAATCTGTAAATATACCAAAGATCGCTGCATTGTGTACTTTTAAATGAATTTTTGGATATATAAAGTATCTCTTTAAGTAAGAAGTTGTGCATATTTGTTGTAAGCAATTCTAATACCACAGAAAAGCTGAATAAATTCCTCCAGGATCCAACCCCAGTGATGGTTTCTTCTGAGAAGGAAGTGACTTTTCTTTTTTCACTTCTACTCATGCAACGAGTGTACAATTGTAGCCGGAATGCAGTGCTTCTCAGTCTCTAACAGCCCCTAGTCATGCTTACACTTTTGCATAGCCATTATGAATAGCCATCGTTTAGAACAGGCCTAATCTTCAACCATCTTTCCTTCTATATTTGCATTTCAGGTAAAGAAGAGCAATCTCTCTTCTTTGACAGATAAATAACATTCCTCCCAAGGATATGCTGCCACTCATCTATGCAATCTGTGATAGAAGATACACTGTTGTTTCCTTTCTGTGCAATACATTTTTTAATCTAAGAATAGCATATAAGATATATTCACACATTTTAAAATTTCCAGTATAAAATTAAATAAAAATAAGCTTTACTCTCCCCTCCTCTCCTCCATCCCTTAGAGGTAATTGTTTTTACCAGTTTGTCGTTAATTCTCCCAGACATATCCTACATTTATATAGTTGTACTTTATCTTTAATTAACACAAATGGTACCTCGTTATCCTACTTCAGAATCATCTATTCTGCTGGCGTGAGAGTTAACGGTCTAAAAAAAAAATGCCCCATTTCTAAGTTTAATGGTCTTCTTTTCAAAGTACTACTATTAAGTATATATTAATTGGCAGCTGATTAATGGCTAGAAAAAGGACTTTACCATCAAATTTGTTGTCCCAAATTTGCAATGCAGAAATGTCTGCTTGAGCTGACAAGCTGATGTCTAGTGCCCCTTAAAAGGCTCTACATAAAGCCATGAAAAGCATTAATTCTTATTTAAAACACACAAGTGGTTTACTGAAAAAGTTTATGTAACCATTTGGTAATTGATCAGTTGAACAAGGGATTCTATAAGGCATAATGGATTTACAAACAACTCAATTGATAAATATGTAAAAATATTTAATTTGATAAAATAGATAAAAATTTAACACTATTTTAAAATCTTCAGAATAGTTAAAGGCAATGCATGCTGCTGTTTCTAGAGGTAAATGTTCCCCTATCACAGATATTGGGACTTTCAAACATGGAAGTTCTTTACAGTTTAGGAGAGAGCAGTATAACAATCAATTTCAATCAAATGTTAAGGAACTCTACCTTCTCCTCATGTATAATTGCCCTGTGAGTCCACTTACCTGATATAATAGCATCTCCATTGAGGTAAAGAGCCATGCCCAAGAGCATCATGATGCAAAGAGTGAGAATGTAGGGTCTCCGGCGACCCCATCTGGACTGGCAATGGTCACTGGCTGACCCCACCACAGGTTGCAGCAGGAATCCTAGGATGGGACTAAGGAGCCACACCATGCTGTACAGACTCTTGGGCAGGCCGACTCTGAGCAGCACTGGGATCACATACGCTGCCTCCACTGCATAGCAAAACTCTCTGCCAAACATGGCCAGGCTGTGCATAACCAGTCGGCCCGTGGATCTTCTGGGTAGAACCACAGAGCCAAAGAGGGCATCTTCAGTGAGTGATTGATAGGTGTGGGTGCCAGTCTGCCCACCATTGCTGCCCATGTCCACAGAGTGAAAAAAATTTCCTGGGTGGCCCTCAGGTCTGTGCTCAAAACTGAAATTGACAGGAAGCCTGGGGAGCAACAGCAGAAACATGGTCAGGCTGGGGGGAGGTGCTCAAATTCTTTCATGCTTCTAAGATCACAAGTTATGATGAGAGGGAAATTTAGTGCTGGCTCTGGAAAGCATGACAAAGATTAGCTTGTGAACCCACTTTTAAAAGGCACATATTCATTCTCTCTCTCCCTCTCTCTCTCTCTCTCTCTCTCTCTCTCTCTCTCTCTCGCTCTCTCTCTCTTTCT